AATACGTTTTGTGACGTCATTTTTGGTCAGCAGTTGCTCTGTTAAATTGGAGTTTGTGTTGGCCATGTGAGGGAATTTTTCAGAATTTTTTCCGCTCAAAACAATGCTATACCCAAAAAGTTAAGGAAATACGACACTATTTTCATTCGAAGACGGAAAGAAACCCTAGAAGTATTCRTTTCGCTGAAAATGGCGATATTTATTCGTGTATATTTATGAACAATTTTGACATTTACATCCTTTCCTGTACAGCATCGTGACAAAATACCAGGTAAGTTTTATGTATATTTTGTTTACATTTYGCTTTTTCGTCTTATTTGACTGTTTTCAGAATTAATTTTGTTTCTATATTAATCACACAGTATAATACGTTGATCAAGCTTTGTTTAACAAGTTTAATTTGAATGTGACAAGCTGTGAGAGTTTCTCTTGACATTTTAATTATCAAAAATTTGATCGATAATATACCCATAATAACGATAATTTAGAGTTATTMTTATCATTATTTATGCAATATATTTTCAAAATAATATCTTACAACTCGTGAGCCTTCTTTGATTTTTGTAGTTTTGTTGAGACAAATTCTTTGCAAGATTTTGATTGGGAGTATTCATAATCTTTACCACTTTTCCCAGGTTCTAGGGACCTCTAGGAGTTGGCTGCTGTCATCATTGTCAGGTTCATCAATGTTTCCATCATCAACACCATCGCTATTGTCACCGTCATCCTCTSATTCCAACAATTGTTTTTTCCATGCTTGTGATAGCTTCATGATTTCCTTCATATTGTTTGGTAGCTGGCAAATGGTGCAGCCCTTGTTGGTCAAGCAAAGGCGATGAAATGAATGGTCACATGCAAGTCGTTTGACTTCTGTTAGTGGTGTTGATGTAAAATTTTGATGATCACAGTCAAGGTCAGATCCTGGGTTTTATTYAGATCCTGGTCACTGTACGTTCAAGATGTAGACTTCTTCTTTCCCGCCATTTTTGTTCGGGATCTTCAAGGCATCTTTGTTGGCATCTGTAAGCTTTAATACAATCATGTTTTGCGTAAATGTGGCACCGAAACCAAGGAAAGTGACAACTTTTGTCACAACTGTGGTCAAGATAAGTTAATAGCTTAAAATTATGCCAGAATTAGTGATACCATCTCTTGCAAACAAAGAAACAAAGCGGTCAGTGATACCTTAGGTCGACTGACATGGTCTACTYGCATGGTTATTCAATTTTTTGAACTTTTTGAATTCTTTGGCACATACATTTAAAATTCCCTTTTAAAAAGCGTCTATCTTAAAAAAATTATAGTATAAACAAGCAGATTAATGTAAAAATTAGCAACTCTTATAGCGATGCCATAAAGCCAGCATATGTAAGTTCGAATGCTGTATAAAAACTTTATAGGATAATAAGCTTGCAACAGGAGTTGAAGCTTTATATAATTATTGAATTTCTTAGACATGGCAAATTCATCAACATGTTCTTCAGATGACTCWGAGTGGGAGAGTGAGGATGAGACGTTTGATGAGGAGACTGTTCTGAAATATTACTTCAATAGAGGATTTTCTTACAATGAAATAATCAAGTTCCTAGCAAAACATCACAACTACCACATAAGCTATACCACTCTTTTGAGAAGACTCAAACATTATGGCCTTAACCGAAGGAATCTTGGARTTTCCCAGCATAAAATTGAACAAGTTAAGAGGCACATTCAAGAAACGTTGAATGGACCAGGATCACTTGGCGGTTACCGTTCTGTGTGGCATGATCTTGAACTGAAAGGCATAAGAGTCCCCCAAATTGTTGTCCAAGAACTTTTAAAAGAAATGGACCCTGAAGGTGTTTCAGCTCGTAAAGCCCATAGGCTGAAAAGAAGGGTATACAGTRACCCAGGGCCAAACTTTGTATGGCACATGGATGGTTATGACAAATTAAAACCATGGGGGTTTCCGATACATGGTTGTATWGATGGATATAGCCGAAGAATACTATGGCTTGATGTATCCCGCTCTAATAATACACCAGATAACCCAGGAATGTATTATTTGAACACTGTTCGTGAATTAGGAGGGGTACCAGTTGAATTCATAACAGATTTGGGTACAGAAAATGGCCTTGCTGCATCAATGCAATGCTACTTCAGGGATAATGGTGATGCACATAGGTATGTACCTTCACCAAGGAATCAGAGAATTGAAGGGTGGTGGAGTTTCTTCTGCAAAAATCGCTCTGGATGGTGGAGGAATTTCTTCAAAGACTTAGAAAGTCAAGGAAATATTGATACTGGTTGCGAGCTAAGCAAAGAGTGGTTATGGTTCTGGTTTTCAAATATTTTACAAGAAGAATGTGACCATGTAAAGAACCAGTGGAACAGTCACTACATTAGAAAATCCAGACATGATACAGTGCATGGGAGACCAGACTCACTCTTCTTTCTTCTTGAACTGCAAGAGGGCAGGGAAAATCTTTTATTGCCAGTCCCAGATAGTGAAATTGATTTTATTATTGACATCACACCATACTTTAACATTTGCCATTTCGTAGTTTACTAATTGTTCGAGGTCATGAATATTGGCTGAAGTTGCAAATATATTTGTATCGTCAGCAAATATTCTAAATTTAAGTGACTTTGAAGAATTAGGCAGATCATTAATGTAAATTAAAAAGAGTAAAGGTCCCAGCTTCCTTGAGGAATTCCACATTTAACAGTCTGTTTTGAAGATTCAKTGTCACCAAGTGCCACATATTGTTTTCTGTTTGTCAGATAGCTTGTGAACCAATCTAAAGCTATACCTCTTATACCATATTTTTCTAGTTTTTTCAGTAGAATGTGGTGATTAACAGTGTCAAATGCTTTACAAAAATCTAGGAAGATTCCACAAGTGAATTTGTTATTGTCTATAGATTGTTTTAAGTATTCTGTTGTTTCCGCAATAGCCTGTTCAGTCGATCTTGCTTTACGAAAACCATACTGGAATTCATATAAGATTTCATACTTTTCGATGTAGTTAATCAGTTGGGAATATGCTAGCTTTTCAAATATTTGTGAAAAKCCAGAGAGGACAGATATAGGTCGATAGTTAGCAGGATCAGTAGCTGTACCACCTTTGTCAACTGGGGTAACTCTAGCCACTTTTAGATTGTTGGGTACAATCCCTTGTTGAATAGAGGTGTTGAAAACAAGGGCTAGAGCTTCACTAATCTTTGGGCCAGCTAATCTTATGCATTTGAGAGGGGGTCCTATACTGACTTATCAATATTGAGGTTAAAAATGGTGTCATATACTTCATGAGAAGTTACTGCTCGAAACATGAAACTGTTAGATGGCTTATGACAGATATAACTACTAGGATCAAAGTCATGAATTGGAAGATCTGAAGCTAAATTTGACCCGACATTTACATAGAAGTCATTCAGATGCTCACAAATATTTTGCTTATCAGTATAACAGTGATTTTGGAAGATCAGTTTGTTTATAGAAGGTGTTGATTTTTTTCCCTGCTTACGAGCAATCCAATAAGTTTCCAGGTTGTTTTCAAATTATATCTGTTAAGTGCAAATTGATTGCTAAAATAACTTTTTTTTAGCAATTTCTTTGATTTTATTGAGTTTATTATTAAAAGATTTTAAGTAAAGGACCTTTGTGGGGTCTCCGCTAAGAAAGTGAGACTTGAATAATTTATGTTTGTTTTTTACTGACTTTAAGATTCCATTAGTAATCCATGGCCTTTTTTGCTGTTTTACTTTAGCATTGGTCATTTTTCTAATAGGAGCATGTTTATCAATAATGATTTGTAAGGCTTCTTCAATCTTTGTCATGCTGTGGTTAACATCAGAGCCAACCATTTTATTAAAGTCTGCCTTATCTAAGTCACTGAGAAAGGAATCCTCTCTGAATGATGAATAATCTCTATAGTATCTACTGGTGGTTTGAAAAGCCAATTTGCTTTTAATTGTGCAGAATACTGATAAATGATCTGAAATGTCAGCAAGACATATTCCTGATTTCAAGACTCTTTCAGGTATATTTGTGTAGATATGGTCAATAAGAGTTGCTGAGTGGTCAGTAATTCTTGTTGGTTTAATTATAATTGGCATCAACCCTAGGTTGAAAAGCATGTCTAAATAGTCTGAGGTAAGCTCATTTGTGTTATAATTTAGAAAATTTATATTAATATCACCCAAGATAATTATTT